GAGAGAGCTCTGACAGAAAACTGCTCTTTTTTCAAGACCAGCTCTTATCAGAACTACGGCTTGCCCAAGGTCATCCTGCAGGTGCAAGTGGAGGAATGGGGAATCAAACCCGGTTCAACCAGATTAGAGTCCACGCACTTATCCGCTACACCAAACTGGCTCCAAATTTATTACTGAACCAAATTTATTATTGTTTATAGAAAAGGCAATGAAGGCATTTTGTACCATTCCCAGTTGTGTGTGTGTGGGAAATCTCCTGCTTTTGCGGGCTCCTGCCTGCTGTTGGCCAACTGGTGGGCAGGAGGAAATTTCTCTTACCTCCAAGAGCAATGCTGGGCAACATGCCAACATCACCCGGAAGTGACATAGGCATGTTGGTGATCTTGGGGGGGAGGGGGTGTTGATGCTCTGGCTTTTGGGCAAAACTCTATGGTTTGAGGGCAATTTTACTGTAGAATTTCCCAAAAAAGCCAGAGCATTGCCCCTGATGTGTCTATGTCATTTCCAGGTGACACGTGGCATCACTTTTGGTGACATCGGAATGTTGGGGGCAGTGCTTCCGGCTCCCAATGTCCCCCTCTCATCCCCCCGCCGGCATCTAGAAGGGACCTGGCAACGTGTTTTTTAAAAAAATAAGTTTTTATTGTTTTTGTTAACATTAACATTACATACATCAAATACTTTTTGATTCTAAATTAATAAGGATAATCACAAACATTCTTAACAACTATTCTCACCATACAGTACTAGTAAGTCACCATGAGTCTGACCATTATAGATTACCTACTATAGCCTATAAATATAACCATTTATGATAGATCTGCTTAGCAGGAAGAATATCCTTCGTTACCATGTAGTCTAACACAGGGGCCCAATTCCTAACAAATTTGGTGTAGGTTGGCGTGTTACTGTTATTCGCTCTCATCAGGGAGTCTGTAATTTTTGCCATTATAAACTGATCCCAAATTTTCTCTTGCCATGTTGAAATTGTAGGGAGATAAGGAGATTTCCAAGCCGCTGCTATTGTTAACCTGGCTGCAGCTAATAACGTCGAAATAAGTTCCTTACTGCCCCCTGTACTCGAATCTTTCCAGAGATTTAACAGCACCACTTCTGGCAACGTATTTTGAACCAGGGGATTGCTCCCCCATACCTCTGAGCCGTTCTACGGCTTCAGACGTTGAGCAACATTGTATAAGTTCAATTTTTTTAAAAAAAGAGTTCTGGTATCGCCTCCTCAGCGGGAGCATGCCACGGAGTCCACCCTCCAAAGCGGCCATTTTCTCCAGGTAAACCGAGTTCGGTTGTCTAAAGATCAGGCTGCACCTGGAGGCTGCCAATCCTAGCTGCCAGCGATCAGCCCACTGTGCTTCGGAGCAGGTCAGAGCAGGCCTGGCGGAGCTCCCATTACCTTGAGCTTATGCTGCACCATCCTCTCCGTCTCCTCTCGCAATGCCTCCTTCTCCCTCTCCACCTTCTCCTGCAGCAGCTGGAGTTGTTCCTCATGGGTCCGCTTCTGATCCTCCACCATTTGCGTCAGCCTGTCCTGCTTTTGTTTCAGGAGCTCCTGCTGGAGTTCGGCCTCTTTGGCCCGAGCACGCTCAGCTGCGTTCCGGAGGAGGAGGAGAAAACAGGGAAGGCCAGCCGTCAGAGAAAGCATGCAAAGTGCACCATGCAAGATGCATGCTGAAGACTTGTTGCAAGCCTCAGGCCTGCTTGGAGACTCCCACGCCTGCCACCAACATGTGAAAACACCCGAGAGAGAGAGAGAGAGAGAGA